TATATATATATATCATATACATATACATATATATATATCATCGAAAGTGCTTTATATTTCACCAATTTTCCATTAATACATATTAGAAACTTAGGCGTACACGAATCCCTTTTTTTCATGTTGACTGGCTTTGGCAATTATATTGAGGGAGCAGGCTAACAGTTTCTCGGATACGGGCTGATACATAAATACTGTCCAGTTGTATTTTTTATTTTTTGTCCATAACTAATGTCGACATACAAGTGTAGGCGCATTTAGCACATTCTGGCAACTTAGCAGAGAACACAATGTTGACACTGTCCTCAATCTGTAATCTATTGTATTCAGTCATGTTAGTTTGCTCTAGGTAAACTTTAAAATAATAAAGAAGATTTCTCAAAGACCACACATACACACATTTGAGTTTTGGTATTATCTAACTTATCAAGCCAAACTGGACAAAGGAAATTCGAATCGGACCACATAATAAAGGAATACGTAGGTACTGATATCGCCTAAATAATTGAATAAATCAAGAGATTTCGATAGACCACGTAAAAATGTAAGTCTTGAGGTTATGATAGCATGTAGCTAAATTGCATAAAATAAGAGAATTCAACTTCAAATGGTGTTTTTAAGTGTTTTACACTCACAAAAAAGAAACCTATCATTGTATAGGCATTTGAAGAACTTGTAGCATTCCGCCACAATTTAATTGATTGTATTTTTAGCCGACACTTAAAACCCCGTTTCGATTTTCGATACCTCACTACTATAAAGGCTTGGTTTGGTCTAATGTTTCATTTGGTGGTCGTGTCCAGGGTCACTGATGAGGAGTTGAATTCTCCGAAAGTAGACTGGCCAACAAACACACCCCCAATGGAAGAATAGACCATTCCAAGCTTTTACTTGTTGTTAAACACATGTTTAAACAACTCTTTCAACTTGGTTCGCACACTCACACATACGCACAAAACACAAGTTATTATTAGCCATACTGAATAAACCGAGATAATTCAATCCAGAACACACACAAAAAGTAACATTTGGGTTTGGTATCGCTTTGCTAAACTAGATAACCCAATAGATTTCAAGCTGGGCCACACACAAAGTAACACGGTTTCAGTATCCCTTAACCAAACTGTAGAAACCAAAAGGAATACAAAGGTTTTTATACTACTTGGCCAAACTGAATATGCCTAATTCAGTGTCACAAAACACTCCAACAAAGTCATACTAAGCTTCATGAACGTCTAGAGTAACTAAGTGCTGTGACGGATCATGTAGACTGTTATGTAATTGTGTGGTTATTCAGTTTTACGAAGATAATAGTAAAACTTTACTGTTATGCTTTACTGCTCATTAGGTGTTCCTAAACTGGCCGTTAAGCTCATTGTGTGCTTCGCGTACCGTAAATTTGTAAACTGCTATTTACGCGATACTGAAGTTTAGAATTAATAAAGGTGTTATTTTCATATCATTTGCTCTGTAAATTTTCCAAATTGACATAAGTACTAAAGAGTTTACGCTTGAGTCTAATGTAAATTTTACAACTATTCCATGCCATTACCTAAAGTGCACTTAAAAACGCACAAATAACATTATTGCTATAAATTTACTTGTTTCGGATAATTACGCAAAGCTACACAAGGGGCCATCCGCACTAGCTGTGACTAACTTTGAATTGATAGACTAGAGGGAAGGCAGCTAGTCAAAAGAAGCCACCTCATCTCTTGGGCTACTCTAATTGAATAGTGGGATTTCATTGTTTTTCTTATAAAGCACCCACAGCCCAAAAGTAGGAAGTGATTTTACGGTAACCAAAGACCCTGTAATTCACAGTCCAGCACGCTCACTTCCAAGCCACACTTGACATAAATGCTATAAAACGCTCTATTTTATGTAGAGTACTGACATACGGACTTTCGGACCTCTTAATTGGGGCCTTAATTAATAATTCAATACTAGTTTATTTAAATAATATATAAAATATGTCGTTCATTGATAATTTTAATTTTGTACGTATTACTATTGTGATAAACACTATTTAAATTAATGGGATGTATTCATACAGGAGGTGTTAGACAATACTATTAGAATTAGCAATACACTTCTTGTTACTCATTATTGTAAATAAAAGTAATAATATTATTATCACCTGTTACTTACAAAACCTAACGTATATTATTCATTATAATACTTTTCAATACAACTTTCATCATGTCAAAAATGATTTCATATCAAATTACTTGCCACTATATGACAGAAAATGCAATGATATATCAAGGCTTATCAAAATCCTTGATTTAACACTTAGGAATTGTGATTCGGTCAATTAAGACTTGTGACCCTTTCACATGAATCACATATTAAAGTATTATGCATTTTACTTGCCAATAACAACCTCTTAAACTGTCCGAAATGTACATTCTATCCTGGTAAAATATCTCATATTTTTTTATTCATATTCTAAAATTTTAAAGTAATTCTGGTATATCCAATCACGAAACAAGATTTTTGTCGTCGTCTTCAACTTCAAGCAAACTGGTAAAATCAAAACATAACACAGTGAGTAGGAAATACCATTTTTTTGCACCATCTAGGGATTAGTGTTTGTTTTGTTCTTAAGCACAAAGCTGCACATCAGGCTATCTGTAGTCTGTCTACCACGGGTATCTAAACCCGATTTTTAGCATTATAAGCTCTCAGGCTTTCCACTGAGCCCCTGGGGCAGCAATTAGTGAAACAAAAGTCTGGTAGAACAAATGGAAATTACGATGACAAAAAGGTTGATAACATTAAATCATATTACGATTTAGTAAATGAATAAAGATAACGCTTTTCAATGAGATATAAAGCAATTGTAATATTATCATTAATTTTTAAGTAAAGCGTTATGTTACTCCGTTAGCCATAAGAATAATATCATTAAGGCCTAATGTGCTACTTTGATAACACAATATCGTAACACATATTGACTACCAGGTGTAGTTAATATAAACAATTCAGTTTATTTTATACAATCAATAGTCCATCTCGCGTCACCTGGCTTTGTAGGTTATATATTCAATATGTACATGTATTTTATAGTTGAAGAAATGGAGGCTAGTCTTTACTTCTTTACGGTTATTTTTCTAGTAGGTTTGCTGCTCCTAATAATAACATTAAAAGCTATATGTAGAAACAATCGTTTTAATAAAATTACCGTACTTAAGTAACGGTGATTTGTTTGGTATTTAAAGTTAAATCGCGCTTCTTCATTGAGATTTAACACAAAACATGATATTTTCATAAGTTGTCTAAATCTTACAAGCTTGTCCCATGGAGACTCAATGGTAAGTCTGAAAGCTTATAAGCTAAAAATTGAATTTCAATACTCGCGGTAGGCACAGCAAAGACCGCCCAATGTGTAGTTTCGTGTTTAATAACAACTACATATTTAACAAGTTATAGTTTTTGTCATTTTAGATTACGAGTTTTTATTTTATGAGTATATGATAATTTAAACACGCGACGTACGAAGACTATTTAAAT